TTTATTGATTACACTGTCCACCTCCTAAGTCTCTACTTGGAGTGCACCTAGCTGGTCAATGGGGGACGATTGCTTTCTTTTGACCTGCCAGTGCACTCCTTATGTACTCCAAAAACCCCTATCTACGCTTTTACATGTGTTTTCTACGGTTATGTATCGGTCCGAAATACAAATAGCTTTTTAATGATCGTGTGGTATAGTTTATAGTGTCTCTCTTGTGGTACACTACAGTTTTTGTAGTGTTGGTATCTTTTCTTTGTCAATCGCATCAGTGTTTGATGTGTACGTGGAACAATCCGGTTTTAATTATATCTAGTCCGGACCGGTTCCACATGCTTCTTTATCATGGGCTCGGCTACTAATTTGACATATCGTGTCATTTCAGTGATGGGCATGCTGATGTGTTTGATATGTATGCAGAGGCTCTGGTGTCATGTCTGGGACATGGACCCTGTTTTCCAAAAATTACATATATGGTAATTGGGTATAAATATTCTAAAGGGTTGTATAGTAGAGTGGGTAATTGCGCTTTTTTGGGCTTTCCCTTTATGGCCACCCTGGGTTCAATTCCAGCTGGTGAAATCTTTTTTTATTTGACAAACAAATGAATAAAAAATATGTATTTCATTGTATACTTGACATACTGCCATGGAAAATTGTGAGATATATCCTCTCCCTATCCACTATTCTTCTATGTCATCTAGGAATTTATTATTCAGGTCAAAGCTGGTTAAAAATTGCTATAAGATACATACCTGAAATTTGCACTTAGCTCTTCCACCACTACCTGGGCAGTCAAATCCTGATCTACCTGCCTCCACACACAGCATACACCGCCTTTTCTGTTGATTGACATATGGAACAAATATTGTAGAGCTGGATGGTAATATCTCAAAGTCTGGAACCAATGAAAATGTTGATTGTGGAGTTTGAGGAACAGAGATCAGATTTTGCATGTTATTTGTTTGAGATGTTGATGCTTGAACTGGAGCTACAGAGACTGCAAAAGAATTGCTGGAGAAATTTGGGGCTTCTTCTTCAACAAGCATCATTTCACTGTTGCTATGGGTTGTGGAATCAAAGCCAACATCAACCATCATGCTTTCAGAATTGTCCAAAGTTCCAGGTTGATATCTTTTTGCTGGTGGAAGAACATGGGATACATAGGCTGATGAGTGAATTCTTTTTTCATGAGCCTCTTGCTGTGGTTTACTGATAATCATTGTCTGATTTTCCTGCCGTCTCTCACTCCATAACTTGTAATATGTTGAAAGATGCTCTGAAAGTTTGTAAAATATGTTTTCCCCATCTGCTTTGATAGACCACCACTGTGCCATATTCTCAAAATTTGGTTTTCCATGTGCAGGACACCATTCACCACCAACAGAAACAGCTTTGTGGAATAACAGGGCAGTTAGTAGGAATCACCCACCAACACTGAGAGGCCCGACAATACAAACAGGCCATAGTTGATGGTGCCTGCTGATGGGCCAATGAGGGCCAATAACCCTGTGTTGATGAATTGGCCGATGTGATCCCACTATCAAGGTAAAGAAGGGTCGGCCAGCTACGTAGATTTAGCATACACCGATCAGTAGGAAGCTGCCCCGGGAAGTCAAGTCCCTGTATTTGTATATCGGCTGATAGCTAAGCTATGCAAGGTCAGCTGACAGTTTTGAACATTGTATTTGTATATCGGCTGATGGAAGATAGTTAAGCTATGCAAGGTCGGCTGACAGTTTTGAACATTGTATTTGTATATCGGCTGATGGAAGATGCAAGGTCGGCTGACAGTTGTGAACGTTGCTGGGTTGGTGATCGGCCGAGGGCCTTCACTTCTGATTAGCAGCTAGGCTATGCAAGGTCGGCAGACATTTTGAATTCGCCTGGGTTGGTGGTCGGCCGAGGGCCCTCAACTCTGGTTACCAGGGTCAGCTGGCGAGACCCACATGGTAGTCATGGTTCATGGATATCACCGAGTCGGCCGGACACGAGAATTTATGAACATCTCATCAGCCGATGCATCACCGAGGCCGGCATTTTCAAGCCGAATCGTTTTCAGCTTGGCCTT